TCTCAGCAGACAGTATGACTATACATGGCCTAGCTTACACATGTCACTTGGAAGCTGCAGGTGTGCCTTCACTGATCAGTACACATTGCTTTAATGACTACCCATCAACACCTTGGCTGGACCAATTTCCATCGCTTAAAGCCAATTGAGGGGATAAGGAAAAGTCCTAGCCAGCTCTGTCATATCAATGCATGGAAATCGGACCAGGTTTAGCCAAAATGGAGACAACTGTTCTTCTTTCAAGGAGAATCACCCAGGTGGTCCTCCACTGTCATCCTTGCTGCATGAAGAATACATTTCATTATATTTGGGGGCCCATTCTTATCATAGACTGTGGAGGCATACTTTTTGATGATTAAATGTTCAAAATAATAACTGGAATTAAAATGAACAAGAATCACAATGTAAATGTAGATAACACAGAACCTCCTGTCAACAAGGCTCTTTCAATCTGAGGTTCAATTTCTCTAGTAATTAGGTTCCTTTGAAAAAATAAAATAACCTTTTAATTTTAATCTGATTAGAATAATGGGCCTTTTGCTATGAACAAGAAAGGTAGTAATATTCCATTTATAAATTAATTTTGTGATGAAATATTCATAGAGATTTTCTAGAAGGTTTTCTGGTCTATCATTTAGAACAGCTGAAGGTATTTTATAAATATCTTCCACTGCATGTATGATTGTTTAGGATTATATTTTAGGATTTAGAGATTGACCATTTATAATGTTAATGTTCTTGAGATTCATATTCCAGAAGGGCATTTCAGGGCAGAGTTAATGTAATTGTAAACATAAAAACCAAAATCAGGATCATAAACAACTACAGTTAATTAACCATAAGTCCAGTTTGGGGAACTATTTTGGTGAAAATACATTATTTGGAGCACCAGTTCTGTGGGAGGATGCAAAGAGACCCACTTGGGAAGAAAGTATTTCAGTATTCACTACAACTTGACAGCTAACTGATTTTAATTTAAGAATAAGGCTGCATCTGCATAGTAATTTTACAGTACAGATGATTTTATTTGCATTGTTCTTCATGCATATTTGAAAGGCAAAAAAAGAAAAGAATTAAAGAATTATTTCCCGAGTTTTTGCATAGATAGGAAAAAAAATCTCTGGCTTAGTAGAAATATTCTTCTGTTCACAAAATGAACATGGACTAAGATCTAGGACTGTTCTTTTACAATACGGAGCTGTCTCATAAAGTCACCATAAGCACTAAAGAGCAGACCCGAATGTAGAAATTTGAGAACAGTTTACTTTACAATGGTCCAATTAAGTACCAGGGAGGAGAAGGGAAATAAGACAGAAAAAGGCAGAATGCCTCCAAAATGTTTCTTTAATGCAGTTTGCTACTGTGCTACAGGGAGCAGTCCCCTGCAGACCGCCTCATGCTCTGTCCTACTTGCTGTCCCTGACATTCCCAGCCCTTCTAGCCAGTCCCTCTCCCTCCATCACTGGAAACCACTGCAGTGTCTGGGGTTGTCTGCTGCTGGCACCAAGGAGAGATGAGAAAAGATGTTTCACTGCATAGCTCAGTTGGAAGGAGGTCAACTTTGATGAGACTAGAATGTTGCGTGTTTCCAGGAAGATCTAGTGGCAATTAAACTCGATGGAATTTAAGAAGAAAATTTCATGGATCACACTTATTTTTTACCCTGGAGTGGATCACAGGGCAGATGCTATTTCTGGCAGAGAGGCTGTGCTGAGCAATGCCGGTGCCATCCCCACTTCTGGTTTGTGTTCCACAGTCAACTCAGCAATGTTTAAAAGTTCTATCCGTGATCGTCTTTCATATTCCTTCTTTAGTGCTGCCCACATCTTGTATGTCGGGCGTGGTCTGACATTTAAGGTTCTTAACAGAAAATAAAACAGACACAATCTGTGACCACTGGAAGTGTTTAATCAAATGGTGAAGGATAGAAAATAAACCGGTAAACTAGTAAATAAACGTGCAATGTTTATTTGCTTTGGTTACTTTTCTGTCATTACTGAGACAAAATTCCTGACACCCAAAATTAAGGAAGGAAAGTTTTACTTAGCTCACAGTTGTGGAGGTTTCAGTCTGTAATCAGCTGACCCTAAGGCAGGGTGGCGTGCTACAGGGGCAACAGTTCAGGGCAGCAGAAGACAGCAAAAGCAACAAGAGCAAAAGGGGAGCAAACCTCTTTTCCTTCCTTATATTGTAAGCATGCTACCACATTCACCTGGGGTGGGTGTAACACACACACCATCTCCATGCCCTCCTCTTGCACAGGATGAGGATGTTTACAAAGTAAGCTACCCTGGCCCCTTCCTGAGTCACTTAGTTAACCTTCTAAACTTCTCAACTTGACACAATGAACAACCTCCTAGAGGGGTAAGAGCATGTCCTCTATACCACAAGATGTAGAACTGCTGAGTTACTTAGTTAAGCTTCTAGACTTCTCAAGTTGACACCAGGTATCAACCCTTATAAGAATGAAAGTTTCTATGACAAAAAATAAAACTCACTCAGAGAGAAGAGAAAGATGATACTTTCTATGCAGTGGTTCTGAAAAGGCCTCTGATAACATTTGTACAGAAGTCTGGAGAGGGGCAGCAAAACCAATGAGGGTGATCCACAGAAGGCTTGGTTCTCCATAATCCTGAGGCCATAGCTCTGGATAAAGTTCAGAAGCAAGAGAAAACTATTGCACCAGAAATACTGTAATGCTCAGTGCATTTTTTAAGTGGAAAGAATGCAAACAAAGCCAGCTCACACACTGTTGAAGATTACCAAGTGATTACAATTTTTATAGTATTAATATTTGTATTCTTTCTCCTCCATATAATATATATATTATATATATACATATAAACTCAAATATATCATATTTCAAAATTTGAGAACTATTTGTATTGATTATTTTAGAGCCAGCATTTTAATTGTCCTCCACTGAGGTAAAATATGCTTAGTCTGTATTACTGAATTAAAATATAGCATCCTAAAAAGTACATAGGGGATTATTATTTGAAATGATATTTACTGTAACATGAGTAAATATGGCAGACATGTAACCATCTCCTAAGTTCCAACAGGCCTTGCTTAAGGATATAAACCAATCATTAGCCAATGCTTTTTCTGGAGAAAACCACATAGTAAAAGCCTCCTTTTGAGTCCATATGATCTCCAGTGAAGCTTTATGACTGAGTGGATGGAGAACAGAGGATAGATAATCAAGTGAGCTTGACTATATTTTTTTTTTTTTTTTTTTTTTTTTTTTTTTGGTTTTTCTCCGGTACCGGGAACCGAACTCACGACCTTGCGCTTGCCAGGCAGGCGCTTTTGCCGCTGAGCTAAATCCCCAGCCCCAAGCTTGACTATATTTCAATGACATTTGATATAGACACTAAACCTTGGATTTTTGAAATTTATACATGCCACTAAATATAATTCCTCTTTTGATTTCTTTTCAACCATTTAATAATGTAAAAACAATTATTAGCTCACAGGCTATACAAAAACAAGAGGCAGTGAGCTGGCTGTGGTCTGCCTGTGGTTCACAGGTAGCTGGTGTAAACTATCAGGGGCTTAGACCTTTCATCTGTGCTTCATTGATTTACTGTGGTTCTATTATTAAATATCTTTACTTGCTAGTGTTCTTTTCTTTCATGACATTGAAATGTATCCTCAAGGAACTTCTGTGTGAGGATTTTAGATTATGCCATCTGGAACAGGCTAGAACAAAAATCTGTTCCTTTTGTTATAAAATAAGCCTCTCCGACATTGGACAAAGCACTCTGACTCTCTGGCTCTTTGGACTTCTCTGACTCTTGGCATTTCCTAGCCTCTCCAGATGCCTGTATTCCAAGGCTCCTTTGTTGTTTGTGCCTTAATCTTCTAATTATTCTCTGTGAAATGAATACAAGCTATACAGAAACTTTAGGCCATGTCCACATAGTGGAGAGATCAAAAAAAAATCTACCTTCCAATATCTGTGTATTAGGAAACAATGAAATGTGATTGTTGTTGGTAGATGTTGTTGGTTTATTTTTTTGCTTTTTATTTTTTGAAATATAGCCCACTGAATTATGTCTTGTTTATAAATAATCAGGAAATCTTGATATTATTTCCATGTTCATTAGTAGTCAGTTAGCAAGTGTAAATGTAAATACTTATTCTTCTATAGTACTTAATTTATGTAAATTATGCTTACCAATGTGGTTATTGAAAAGAAATAGCCAGTACAAAAATATTTTTAGAAAGAAATATTAAGAAGCACAAATCTCTTTTCTTATTTGAGTGTGGGATAAGGTAAATTTACCCAGAAAATAAGTTCTTAAATTAAAATGTCTCATCCTCATCTCCCAAATGACTTCACTGGAACTGTTCTTTTTCCCATGGGACTCCAATCCTATTTATTTACCTGATTGAGCTGAATTATACTTTATTCAGTTCAGTGGAAGATAGAACCAATTATGATGTTAGAAAAACATTGAGTAATAAAATTAAAAGGAACACTGTACTTTCCTAGATGAAAATAACTGACTCTTACTTCTAAAGCACTAAAATTGTTACTTAAAAATTGTGTTTATTCCTCCTTTCTAGCCAAAATTGTCATTTTGACCAGTACCTCCTTGGCTAACTATAGCTGGTCATAATGAATTTTATCTTTAAAATAACAGAATTAATTTCAAATGCATCACACACAGCAAAAATGTCAAGTAAGTGCAATGGTAGATATGCTAATTGGTTTAATCACTGCACAGTGTATACATATATCAAAACATCACATTGTACTCCATAAGTTAATACAATGATGGTTTCTCAATTTAAAATTATGTATATATGTGTGTGTGTATATATATACATGTCTATGTGTGGTGTATATGTATATATGCAGAGTTTGCTAAAAAATGTATACACACCAGTTTTTCTTATATATTTACATATGCAAATATAAATATATATTTAAATTGTGCATATACTTAAACTGTGCTCAACTAAACCGCATTTTATTTGGCATCTCCCAGGTTCTGGGTTGAATGATGGACAGTGGCATGAGGTTCGTTTCTTAGCCAAGGAGAATTTTGCTATCCTCACCATCGATGGAGATGAAGCATCCGCAGTTCGAACGAACAGTCCCCTTCAAGTGAAAACTGGCGAGAAGTACTTCTTTGGAGGTAAGAAAGCCATTGTTATTGGTTATCTTTGCTAAAGAAATGCAGTTTCAGTGCGGTTTGATTACAAAACTATCTATATTTAATGGAGCATTTATATTTAATACTGCAGATCCCAGGATATAGCAACCTATAATTCCAATGAATTAAAAAGAATTGAAAATTTGTGCTTCTTCATGATAAAATATCAATGTGATGTCACTGTATGTTTCTACTCCAACTCAGCTCTTTAGAGTATAAGGCATGAGTTTTTTAATTCGTCCATTTTCATAATAGTATCCTGCAGAGTCAGGTACTGGGAGTATGTGCTGATCATCCAACAAATTGTTCCATACTTTTAGTGCAGCACACATTTATTTCATAGTGTCTGTAGATTAGAATTCAAGAATAGCATAGCTGGATGGTGCTAATTTGGGTCTCTCCCTAGGTTGCACTCAAACTGCTGGCTGTAACTTCATTATTAGAAGACTTGCAGAGCTTGGAAGCCCTGCGGAATGCTTCTGAGAAAGCTCACACACTCTTAGAAAGTGTGGGTGTTGAATGGCTCCTGATAGTCCATGTGTTAATGTCTTGCTCTCCAAGGTGGTGCTACCGGGATCTGGTGGAACCATTGAGAGACGAGGCCTTGTGAAAGGTCCTTAGGTCACTGGGGGCGATGCTTGAAGGACACTGGGATCCTGGCCCCTTTTGCTTCCTCTATTTGCTTCCTGGTCATGAGCTGAGCAGTTTGCTCCCCTGTACTCCTACCAGAGGCTAAAAGCAATATTCTGACCCAGCACTCCTACCAGAGGCTAAAAGCAATGGTTCTGATATTCTGACCCAGCACTCCTACCAGAGGCTAAAAGCAATGGTTCTGCCCAAGCATGGATTAGACATTCTAAAATTGTGACATAGAATGAGCATTACTTTTCTTTAGGAGTTAATTATCTCAGATATTTTGTTACAGTCGTGGAAATCTCTCACATACCCCATTGACTTTTGGTGCTGGCTGGATTCCTCAGCTCTCCATTTGATGCATTTCTGCAGTGACGCTTCTGCAGGTATATTCTGCTATTTAAGCCTGGAGAGAGAGAGAAAGAGAGAGACAGAGAGACAGAGAGACAGTGTGAGATAGAAATAGAGAGAAAGAAAGGAGAGAAAAGGATAGGAAAGAAGGGAAAAGTCAGAAAGCAAGGGAGAATATTCCCAACATGGAGTACAGTCTTGGTTTTTATTATTGTTTCTTTATACTGTAATCTTGACAGTAACCTTCTTCCACTGCTATTTTATATAATTTGTTAGAAGTGAGTTAGTAAGTCTAGTCCACAGTGCAAGAAAAGCGATTATTCAAGGGTGTGAATGCTCACAGCCAGGAGTTATGGGGCCATGTTAAGGACTGTCCACTATGGGTCACCACATATGAGAAGCCATCATTTACAAATAGTTGGTTCTCAAGCAATGAAAATAATTCATGAAATGGGAGACTCTAAGTGACAAATTCAAGTCTGGATGAGAGAGTAATGTAGCGTGTGGATTTGGCATATCTTCTAAGTGGAAAAATGCATCTCGCCAGAGAATGACTTTGTTTATCGTGAATGAAATATGGAGACATGTTTTATTAAAGTGCTGGGTGTGCAGTTTAGATCAATACATCTTTCCATTAGATTATTGTCTTTTTCATCCAAAATCACGCAATGTAAAATGTAAAAGCCATGCATCATATCCTTAAAAAAGGCTTTGGTTTAAATATTTTAAAAATACATGTATATATGTATTTCCCTCTGAAAATATTTCTATTAATATTTGCATAGCTATTTGTGTATGTAAATACATATTTATACATCATGGTATGGATCTTGGTCTCCTTTAGTTACTAGAGTGAACCTACATGAGAGCCTACATGGTCTGCATTGTTTCTGATCATATCCCCCAGGGTCCTAGAAAAGTTCCTCGAATATGAGATGATCTATAAATATTTATGATTGAATTAGTAAATTATGTAAAATAGGCAAGATAAGCATTGTATTTCAAGTTGTCTGGAGAAAGAAGAAGCCCTAGGATCTTTACTGACTTGCCACAGAATTTGTGTCCAACTTCGGAATATGAGACCTCTGACAGGGCACTTTTCCCCTCTGATGAGTGACAGTTTAAGAGACAAAAGTCTTGAACTTGCTCAGCACTGCTTTAATCTACCATGATGCTCATTGGGAGCTGAGACTACATTGATTCTACAAAGTTTCTCAGTAAATATTTGATGAGTAGAAAAAAATCAGACAAGATGTCTTATAAGTGAATGAACTGAGGCTGATTGAAGTGAAAAAAAAAAGAAAAAAAAGAAATCAACTTAATGACCAAACTAGTTTCCCTCCCAAACTATATTCAGTGTGATGGACTTCAGGCCAATAGTTCTCATCGCTGTCATGGGACATGGATCACAATTGTTACTTCCAAAGCTATTGACAGTCTCTAGCCATGTCTTCACTAGAAGACCGTTATCTGTGGCTAGGCTTGCTGAATGCCTAAGGCAGCTTCCCATTTCATTTGATCTAGACGGGTAAGCAAATAGCTGTAACCACACATTATGGCATAGAGTTCATAGGGTGTAGGACTTTATGGTGTGGTATGTATCACTGCTTTACAGATTATCATTTTCAAATCTAGCAATTAGGGCTTCCTGTTGGATCTGTGGTCTGCTTTTGGGATACACTGTCAGCAAATGATCGTGATGCTTTTTGATTATATCCTCACTGAGTGAATCCTCAGCATATAAAAGAACCACAGGGGAACTCATTACAATGCAGATAGAAACTCTGGCCTTGCTTCTAGAACTTTCAGACATAGGATTCTGAGGAAACAAAGAATTCTAAATTTCAGGTGATTCTGATACAAATAATCTGAAGTGCAGAATTACAGATCAGGCAGAGCTATTTTACATATACACTGTATACTCTTTCTGAGAGAAAATATCTAAAACCACTAAAAAGGAAGATGCACATGAATCAACTAATCTTCCATAGCTTTCCAGCCAGAGAGCAATAAAAGGAAATCACAGACTAAATTCTTGTGCTTTTTACATTTATTAGCAAGTAGGAACAACATGGTTAATGCAAACTGTGCTGTAAGTTCAACTCCCCTCAGCTCTCTGATTTACCAGACCTGGAATGAAATGTTCTCGGGAAGCAGCAACACTAAACAACGGGGTTCGGTACCCTCAGAACTGGTGCCAGCCCCAGAGAGCTCAACTCCAGAGCCATGTATCTAGGCTCAGGTCACAGGCTTCACTGGGTTCTGATACCATCTTCATGCAAGGTTGCAGCATCTCTAAGAGATTTTTGCAAATGACTTACTATATTTAATCTCAGTTTTGAGATCTTTTTCCATCATTGATGCTCATAAACAAAGTCCTAATTTCACATAAGAAAGTCCAATTTGGTATTTGGTAAGTTGGTTAGAAGTAGACAACAGATACCTCCAAGTAGCCACCTTTCCGGGGCTGCAGTGTGCCTGATCTAACAGTCATGTCCCACTCCAGCTGGTGCCATCCCCATTAAAAGTGAGCTGGCTCTGAGTTATGACTTCAGCTGAGGCACACAGGCACACTACACAACTTCACAGTGTGTTGAAAAATATTCCGTCAGCTGCAGATGTTATCTTGGACACATCTTAAGAAATGCTAGAGGGGAAAGAATGGACTTTGAGGTAAAACATAAGCTTTGGAGTCATGCACACCTGATTTTGGATCATAGGTTTGCTACTCAGGGGATGAAACTTTTAATGCTTTATCTTTCTTTCTTCATCTATTACCTGGCAATACAATCCCTTTTGTGAACATCACATAGCATAATGTGTGAAGCCCAGGGTTGACGCTAGAGAACCCAAAATGCTGACTATCTTTGCAATTCATTTTAAGTCTTGAGAAAGATTTCAAAGACCATGTCTTCCAGGGAAGATTTGAATCTTCATAGTATTGCTCAACTAAAGGGCTCTTATCAACTTTTGTGCTACTCCAAGTATTTGTTCCTTCTTAGTCTCTGAAAACATGAAAGAAAAAGAGAAAAAAAAATGATTTTCCCTCTCCCTGAAAGCCTTATATAAAAGTTTTGAGTATTCAACTCATTACTCATTTCCCTAACTATGTCTGCACTTCGTCTCTGTTGGACTGTGGTTCTCTTTCCGCTTGCAAGCGTGTCTGTTGAACACTGCGGTGTACGTTCCCTTCTTTGCGATCCCTCTGCATGCATCCCAGGAAAAACTTCAATCCTCTTTAATAACACCCTTGATCAGACACATAACTACTAAGGATTCACTTGCCCTCCTCTTGCTTGGGACCACAGAGAATAAGAAAAAAATGAGTCCTTTGTGATGATTCTTCCACAAAGGAAGTTAGCTTGTTTCTACCTCTCAACTGGAATTCCTTTAGATACTACTGCACTGATTTTAATAACCAAGAGAATAACAAAGGTGACAATTATATTTGTTTGTTGACCAACTACTCAGTAATAGGCTTTTGGACACAGGCCAGGGCCTGTGGTTATGAGATAGCAGAAAAATTTTTAAAGTTTCTACCTTTCTTTAGCCTTGCTATTTTCACTTTTCCCTTTGTTATCCCATAAAAGGAAACAGAGCTGTGGTAGGAAAGTTCTGGAGCTGATTTTATTGGAAGAGGAATTCTCAGAAGTATAGGGAAAGAGAGGAGTGGGGAGAGAGACGAGGGGTATGGAGCTGCCCAGAGGTGGCAAGAGGGAAGAAAGACAGGCATTTGCAAGGTTAGCAGAGGGCACATGCCTTCCTAGTTACCAATCCAGAACCACGGGATACAGCTGCCTCATCAGTTCTGGCTGTTATAGCATGGCCCCACACAGAGAGCTGCTGAGAGCACAGAAATCTCTCCCGGTTCTAGCGGCTGGAAGTCCAAGATCGAATTGCTGGCAAATTTGTTATCTCTCAAAGGCACGCTTCCTGGTCTTTAGATAGCCGTTTTCTCGTCATATCTTCACAGCACATGTGAAGGGAGAGAGAAAGAG